TACTATAATCTCGCGAGATTACAGTAAAAGATCAGTTTACTAAGCAGAGGTAAATTATCTCTGCTTAGTTTGCGGTCCCTCTGATTCTCCAGCTCTGGGCTGGAGAATCTGGAGGGAAAACACAGATCTCCAGTGAAGGGCTGACATGATCTCCTGAGTGTCATAAACTGTGAATGACCAGAGAATAGCTGAGATCAGTTGAATCGCAGCTATTCTCTGTGTCATAAAAGGACACCTTAGTCCCTAATCTATGGATGGATAAGTACACTGCTCAAAAAAATTAAAGGAACACTTTGAAAACATATCAGTTCTCCATGGGGAAAATTTCATGCTGGATATCTATACTGATATGGACTGGGCAATGTGTTAGAAACCTAAGGATGCCCCATCGTTTAATGGAAATGAAAATTATCAACCTACAGAGGACTGACTTCAAAGACACCCTGAAAATCTAAGTCAAAAATTATGCAGCAGGCTAGTCCATTTTGCTGAAATTTCATTGCAGCAACTCAAATGGTACTCAGTAGTTCGTATGGCCCCCACGTGCTTGTATGCATGCCTGACAACATCAGAGCATGCTCCTAATGAGACGACAGATGGTGTCCTGGGGTATTTCCTCCCAGATCTGGACCAGGGCATCACTGAGCTCCTGGACAGTCTGAGGTGCAACCTGGTGGCATCAGATGGACTGAAACATGATATCCCAGAGGTGTTCTATTGGATTTAGGTCAGGTGAGCATGGGGGCCATTTAATGGTATCAATTCCTTTATCCTCCAGGAACTGCCTGCACACTCTCTCCACATGAGGCCGGGCATTGTCATGCACCAGGAGGAACCCAGGACCCACTGCAGCAGCGTAGGGTGTGACAATGGGTCCAATGATTACATCGCTTTACCTGATGGCAGTCAGGGTACCATTGTTTAGCCTGTAGCGTTCTATGCATTGTTCCATGGATATGCTTCCCCAGACAAACAGTGACCCACCACCAAAACGGTCATGCTGAACAATGTTACGGGCAGCATAACATTCTCCACTGCTTCTCCAGACCCTTTCACAACTGTCACATGTTCTCAGGGTGAACCTGCTCTCATCTGTGAAAAGCACAAGGCGCCAGTAGCAAACCTGACAATTCTGGTGTTCAATGACAAATGCTAATCGAGCTCTATGGTACTGGGCAGTGAGCAGAGGGCCACTAGAGGATGTCGAGCCCTCAGACCACCCTCATGAAGTCTGTCTCTGATTGGTCATTCACACCAGTGGCCTGCTGGAGGTCATTTAGTAGGCTCTGGCAGTGCTCATCCTGTTCCTCCTTGCACAAAGGAACAGATACCAGTCTTGCTGATGGGTTAAAGACCTTCTACAACCCTGTCCAGCTCTCCTAGAGTAACTGCCTGTCTCCTGGAATCTCCTCCATGCTTTTGAGACTGTGCTGGGAGACACAGCAAACCTTCTGGCAATGGCACGTATTGATATGTCATCCTGGAGAGTTGGACTGCCTGTGCAACCTCTGTAGGGTCCAGGTATAGCCTCATGCTACCAGTAGTGACACTGACCCTAGCCAAATGCAAAACTAGTGAAAAACTGTCAGAAAAGATGAGTAGGGAAAAATTGTCAGAGGCCTCCACCTGTAAAAACATTCCTGTTTTGGGGTCATCTTGTTGTCGCCCATCTAGTATACCTGTTGTTATTTTCATTAACACCAAAGGAGCTGAAAGTGCTTAACAGCCCCCTCTGCTACTTAACTGAAAAGATCAATATCCCAAGAGTTTAATTGACTTGATGCTATACTCTGATTAAAAAGTGCTCCTTTATTTTTTTTGAGCAGTGTATAATACAGCATTAGGCAAATGACTGCTAAATATACAACATCAACTTGATGGGCTGTATGGTTTATTTGTTCACCTGCATTGCTTTTTGCTGAATTAGCCTGCTAGAATGCATGATACCTCTGTTTTATGATGCATCTGCTGTCTCACTCAATCCATGTGTCACACCTGCCCCTAACACAGGTGGTCAGGCTCTGGTTTCTGTGTTCTACACCTATAGCAGCCCCCTTTCCCATAAGGCAAGAAGGCCTACCAGTACTTGGTTGCCCCTTGGACTTATACACTATGTTATAGTGCCTGGCTATCACACTGGGGCAGATGTGAACTGAGCACATGAGGTTGGCAAATAGGCAAAGTGGTTCAATGACAGTCCAGGTAGAAAGCAGGCAGGTTCAGGATAATCAGTGTCAGATCCATAGTCAAAAGGCAGGCAAAGTTCAGAGTATAGTTGATATCTCATCCAAGGTCATCAACGAGGGAATCCAAACAGAAAAGCAGGACAGACATACATGGAGCCGGCAGCACGTGTTACAAATGCAATATCACAAGCACGAGACTGCAGCCTTGGCTGGCTTAAATCAGGTTTGGTCTCCACCCAGAGACTGGTCACATCAATCACCTTGCAGGTGAATCCATAATCTAATCCTTGTGTGCTGCTACGGATCTAACCCAACCCCGTGTATTTGAAGATAAATATTAACCAATGTGTTGTGCTTAAACACAAAAAAGGATAAAAAATAAATAATGCATAAAAAATTAAATGTGAACCAGATGCAATGCACTCAGTGAACTCTCATACTAGTGATCAAACCTATAATAAAAACACAAAATAGTGCTGCGCTAAAAAGGTAAACGCGTATGACATAATCAATAAAATGCCACACTATATTAATAAGAACGTACTCAACTCCATAAACTGTGAAGCAAAATACGTCGGTGGTGTACTGCAATATATGTTGCATGCAGGGGCGGGCTGACCATTCGAGCACTCGGGCACTGCCCGAGGGGCCGGGGTCAGTAGGGGGCCCCATGAAATGCCACTGGTACCTTTTTATAGGTTTTTTTTTTGGTGTGCTTTGAGTGTAGGCAAGGATACAGGGGCCCCATGATCCCCTATTGCCCAGGGCCCCATGAGTTGTCAGTCTGCCCCTGGTTGCATGCGTAACAAGAAGGTGGACAGTCTGCTTGAAGTCTCATTATGGAAGGCCATTGTTTTTGTCAACATTTGGACATTCATCTATACATATTAAGATTGAGTGCCACATTTTGTATTTTACTTCACAGTTTATGGGGTTGAGTACGTTCTTATTAATATAGTGTGGAATTTTATTGATGAAATCACCTTGTAGGTGGACAGACAGGGAGAATGTGTAACAGCCAAAACAAGGATTCTGGAATGAGACAAGTAGCTGTGATGGATCAGGAGAGCTGGCACCATGGATAGTTAGGCATATTATAATATTATACAAATATCTGTTTTATACATCTGATTCATTATCAGCCTTCTGAGACTTCTGGTATATTTGTCTACCTGCATTTCTTTTTACTGAATTAGCTTGCTAGAATGCATGATACACCAGTTTTTTAACCATATCTTTGCTGCACAATCAAGCCTCACAATCAGCTTGCTGGTACATATGACTATCAGCATTGCCTTTCTGTAATTTAGCTGTTTGGTATGCATGATACACACATTTGCCTATATTTTTGCCTGCTCTAATTATGCTGTTGGGACTGAATATACTGTATATGCTGGCTTAGATTTGTGATTCATTCATACTCCTAAAGCGTTGGACAATGCAGAGACAAAACAATTTACCTAATGTCCTATTAGTTCAGTTCACACCACTGTTAAATGCGCTGAAAAAGGTAATACATGCTGTACTTTTTTCAGTGCAGAGTGCTGCAGCGCAAAACACCACATTGCAACCCACTGCAGTGAAAAAATATAAATTAAACATCAGTGTGTCCATTTTAACAAAGTTTAAAAATAAAAATGTAAACAGTGCAACAGTTTATTTATGTTGCATCGGCACTGCTCCTTTCACAGCGATTGACTTTACAAGTTATGGAACTACGAGTATCAACTACCAATGTTGTGGATGGATGAAGTGAAGTTAATTAGGCATCTTTAGGCAAATTGTAACAATATCCTTATATACTTACAAGATGTGCACCTAATAATCCTTTGTTATGAAGATTTGTTAAATTTGTTGTTCAAATTTGATCATGAAGATGATATGATGATAATTCTCTTTTTTGGCTTTATATGTTTTGAGGGGCTGTGTAGGTTTGGTGTGGGAACTACAATCTGTTTTACCCTAAAGTTTTCTCTCATGGTTTTTTTATGTGAGTATTTAAGCCACTGTGAATTATTCTATACAAATAATAATTTTTTTGTTGAAATGATTATACACTGATAGAGCTGTATCCCAAATATGGGAAGTTGTTCTTTATTCCTCTATAATACAACAAAATATGTACTTAACCAAGAAAGTAATTTTTGGCCAAGAAAGCTATCACCATGTTGTTTTATTTGGAAAGAGATGGGGGTGCTTTATAATGTTGTATGTAGTAATTAGAAAACAATGAAAGAGGCTCCATAAGTTATGCCATAACATACAATTTTATAATTGTTTAAAAGTTTACTGTAATAGTTTAAAATAGACGTCTTAAAAAACTACATTTGACATATAACATTTTTAACATTTGGCAATCTTTAAAAAAAAATAAATCTTTGTAAGTAATTTATCAACTTATAGGTGTTACCTGTATATGCCCTGCTAGGCAACCTCTTTAAGCAGCGGGAGCTACACAGCTCTGGGGATTAATGTTATGTAGCAGGATTTCCCTCCTTTCTACCATCTGCCCTTAATTAACAGCCCTCCAGGTGAGGGTAGTGATTCACCACATTAGTGGCCTCTGGAATTAAGCCACGCTCATACAAATAGTAATGGGGAATCAAATTTGAGCTGCTGGTACTGGGAAGAGAGAAAGAAAAGCTCAGGGGTCAAGCAGCAGGGCAGCATGGTTCTGTGTGTGGGGAGGGAACCCCAGAGGCAGCAGAGCGAAGGGAAAGGTGGCCAGAACCCTGGGGACACACGCTAGGAGGCAGAGTAGTTTGTCACCCACAAAGCCACGAGGGAAACTACAAGGCCCCAGGAGCTGAACTATGCAATCAAATAGAGTGAAGCCTGAGAGGAAAGAGAGGACAGCGTTGCTCAATCTCACTTGTCCCCCTGCATCAGGAGTGCAGCCACATGTACTGAGAGAGATAGACGTTTCAGTTGGAGATCTTTTAGAGACAGAGCCACCTACCTCTCTCCTCCACCATCATCCTGCAAGAGACAGCATCCACTTCCATCCTGTCTGAAGGAGCAGCCACCTAAAATCAGACTGAACCCAGAAGGATATCCATCGGACATCAGTGTAGTGAGTGGTCTTTCGCATCCCTGTCTGTGAGATACATTGTGTATACAGTGGGGATCGAAAGTTTGGGCACCCCAGCTAAAAACTTGTATTAATGTGCATAAAGAAGCCAAGGAAAGATGGAAAAATCTCCAAAAGGCATCAAATTACAGATTAGGCATTCTTATAATATGTCAACAAAAGTTAGATTTTATTTCCATTATTTACACTTTCAAAATAACAGAAAACAAAAAAATGGCGTCTGCAAAAGTTTGGGCACCCTGCAGAGTTAATATCACTGCTTGTAAACGCTTTTTGTAGCAAGCCAAGAGTCTTTCTGTCAGGGCTCCGGGGTGTGACCAGAGGTATGTGACTGACGCAGGGAAACGCAGGCTTCAGATAAGTTATAAACAATATAATTTATTAAAGACTAACAATACAAACATAAACGCAGTGCAATACTAAAACATAACACAGTGCAAACGAACCAAACCAAACCACCCACAGATAACAATACATACAATGCAAGCGTCGTCAGGCAGGCCGGGTCAATAACAATCGGGCAGGTAGGTACAGGGGGTCAGGCAGAGAATGGTCGGGGTCACAAGCCAGGGATGAAACAGGAGAAGTCAGCAGAGGTCCGGATCAGGCAGGGTCAGCAACGAATCAGTCAGACAGGAACAGGGATGCAGGTAACAAGATACAGGGCCCAGGAAAAACACACACCAAGGCCGAGACTGCAGGTCTGGCCATCCCTTAAATACACCTGCATGATCAGCTTCAGGTGTTTGGCTGGCTGCAAGGTTGAGTCTCTTGATTGCCGGGAGCACCCGCTGGCCAGCCCTGGTACTGCAGCCCACAAGGCAGGTGAGTCCCACCATTACTGGCAAGTCCATTCCTGACACTTTCAATTCTTGTTTGAGGTATCTTTGCCCATTCTTCCTTACAAAAGTCTTCCAGTTCTTTGAGATTTCTGGGCTGTCTGTCACGCACTGCTCTTTTAAGGTCTATCCATAGATTTTCAATTATGTTGAGGTCAGGAGATTGTGAAGGCCATGGCAAAACCTTCAGTTTACGGCTTTTGATGTAATCCCCCGTGGATTTCGAGGTGTGTTTAGGATCATTATCCATTTGTAGAAGCCATCCTCTCTTTAACTTCAGCTTTTTCACAGATGGCATCAAGTTACCATCCAAAATTTGCTGAAATTTTATTGAATCCATTTTTCCTTCTACTCGTGAGATGTTTCCTGTGCCACTGGCTGCAACACAACCCCAAAGCATGATTGATCCAACCCCATGCTTAACAGTTGGACAGAGGTTCTTTTCATTAAATTCTGTGCCCCTTCTTCTCCAAACGTACCTTTGCTCATTCCGGCCAAAAAGTTCAATTTTAACCTCATCGGTCCACAGAATTTGTTTCCAAAATGCATCAGGCTTGTCTATATGTTCATTTGCAAAGTTCAAACGATGATTTTTGTGGTGAGGACGTAGAAGAGGTTTTCTTCTGATGACTCTTCCATGAAGACCATATTTGTACAAGTATCTCTTTATAAAGGAATAGTGTACCACAACTCCAGTGTCTGCCAGATCTTTCTGGAGGGATCGTGCAGTCAAATGTGGGTTTTGAATTGTTTTTTTCACAATCCTGCGAGCTGTTCTGTCTGATATTTTTCTTGGTCTTCCAGATCTTGCTTTAACTTCCACTGTTCCTGATGACTGCCGTTTCTTAATTACATTCCGAACAGAGGATATTGACATCTGAAAACGCTTTGCTATCTTCTTATAGCCTTCTCCAGCTTTGTGAGCGTCAACTATTTTCAGTTTCAGTTTTCTAGACAACTGCTTAGAAGAACCCATGGTGCTGATTGTTGGGGCAAGGTCAGATGAGTCTGGGCATTTAAAACCTTTGAGATTGACATCACCTGGTCTTCACAGACGATGATTGAGAACAATCCATGACACTGGCAGGTCTCAGCTTGGCAAAGGGGGCAGTGCATGCTATAAATTCTGCAGGGTGCCCAAACTTTTGCAGATGCCATTTTTTTGTTTTCTGTTATTTTGAAAGTGTAAATGATGGAAATAAAAATCTAACTTTTGTTGACATATTATAAGAATGTCTAATCTGTAATTTGATGCCTTTTGGAGATTTTTCCATCTTTCCTTGGCTTCTTTATGCACATTAATACAAATTTTTAGCTGGGGTGCCCAAACTTTCGATCCCCACTGTATACTTGTTGGAGATACCACTGCTTAAAGGCAAATTTTCTTCAAGGGGACCTCTGCACCCTTTCATTGTTAATTGTTTTGGGACGTTTTGCAAAAATACCCTTTTACCTGTGGATTACAAATACTTTCTTATGGGCCCCACCACTGGAAGACTGTGTGCAGATTTACCCACTGGCCAGTGGTTAATTAGGGTCTAACTATAGCAGTTATGCTTCAGTGGTTAACCATATTTCTGTCACTCAGATTTAATCGGTTTGTGTTGATTGCTGTTTTTTTTGCCATTTTTGCGTCATTCACCACTTGCCCATTGTGATGTAACACGGTGATAAAGGAAAAAGAATGCCAACGTTATTCATCTCTCTTTGTCATTGTGTTGTATCTCTGTTATTGAACCGCTGTATTTGAGTATTGTCAATCTTATTAACTATCTCTTTTCTTAAGAGCTTAATGCAAATTTAATGAAATCCCATTTATCGCTACTGGTGTGTGCTGGGCTGTTGTCGGGTACATCCTTGAAGTCGCCACTGGAAATTGGTGGAAGAACCCATTGTTTACCAGCAGTTTCTGCAGGAGTGAGTGTTACACCAGTATATGAAAAAATTACGTAATGTAAACAAGAGCTGGATTGAAAACAGATACTTTCAACCTAGGTTCTGTTTTGCTGTATTCAATATAAGAAAGGATAAGCATAGTAGAAAACCATGGAATGTGTTTGTAAATTCAACTTTAAATTCAATAAGTTTCTTCATGCAGCTTCGAACAAATGGAATTTTAGAGGTAAAAACACTAAAACAGAGGAACAATAAACATAAGTGAATGAGAGAAGCTGTGTTTTGCAGTATTGAACAGTTCAGTAGGGACAAGCATTGTAGAATGTGAGAGCCATGGAATGTGTTTTGTAAATTTAACTTTAAATTCAATAAGGTTCTTCATGCAGTTTCGAGCAAATGGAATTTTGGAGGTAAGAAACATTAAAACAGATGAGCAATGAATATAAGTGAATGGGATAAGCTGTGTACAAATATACTTTTGTGGCTATGATAGAAACTGTTGAGATTCTATTATGGGGAAGGAAGGTCTGGAAATGTGCTGGTTTATGTCTAATAGGCCAGGTTTAGATATGAGAAACATTAACTATCACTGTTTAGATTTACAAATTTCAGCCTGCCATGAAAAGTAGTGATTGATCTGAACAACTATCATTTAGTCATCCATGCAGAAGGGAAGGTGTTGTGTAACATTCCTGTGGGAAGTATTGGTAATGGTGTTTCATGGAATAAACACCAGTAAGGAAAGCAATCCTGCTATTTCCTAAGGGAATTTAGGATGGAAGTTTCATCCAGATATTCATATTCTTTAGACATCTGTCGTGTATATATGAAAAAATATTTTAAATATGAAATTATACTTTGTTACACTGTAAGTGATGACATCACTAGCAACAGAGTGGTTAAGGGCACATACTGTATACAGTATATAGATTGGAAATCTGGAAAAAAGTGAGCTCAATTTTTGCATATAATGATTTTGCATAGTGCTAGTGTAATGCTGGGAACTTAGTCACCTGTTGTGCTAGGGCCACACTTAAATATGGATTAGATTGTAAAAAAAAAAAATTCAGGTTTATTTAATAAACAGTGCAAAGTGCAGTAATCCCTATCAAACATTTAGAATGCACTTTACTGATGTGTGTCCAATACACAATGTATATGTTAGTACAGACTGTGGGCTGGAACATAGGTAAATTAAATCTAAGATATAATGTACCCCCATAGTGTAATATTGAAAAGGTAGTTATCAAAAACTGCTTTTCCCATGGGTTTTTTTCTTTAGCAAACTCTGATAACCACTTTATAGAGCAGCTACAAACAAGAAATGAAATCAACTAATGAATGCTAATACTATCTAGGAACCTTTGGTGTTGTGGTTAAGATAGGCCAGTGTTTCTCAACCCTTTTTCATTCAAGGAACCCTTTAAAATTCTGCACAATCTCGAGGCACCCTTTAAAATTCTGCACAATCTTGAGGCAGGCACCCTTTAAAATTCTGAACAATCTTGAAGCACCCATTACAAAATGTAAAAAACTAAACAAATAGTTTTACAGAACACAGCAACATCTGCATGTGTAGGACAATCAACATTAAAGGGAAGTGTTGTGTAACTTCCCCCTTAAGGGTTGCTTAGTAATTTGTTTTGGATTCCCTGTCAATCTGAATTTCCTCTTGGATGGCAAACCCAACCTCTGCTGACATCCACCGTGCGTGACCAAAGTAATTCACAACTGTAAAATGGACACACACAAGTTAGTGTAAAACCAATGCAAAGTTTATGTTGGAATTAAAGGTAATAGATGGACAGGAAAAAACAAAATAACATTTCGCATATAGTTGTAATGCAGCAACTTATAATCACCTTTAAGGGCCACACTTATAATATGGATAATTGTGAGCAAAGTGCAGTAACCCTATCAAACTTTCACTATAAAGCAGCAATAACTGTTATGTTAGGCAGGACTGCTCATCAAAAAATCTAGTCCAATGCCTCCAATATGAAAAGGAGTTATGCTGCTGAATCTCCCATGAGCTTTTTTCACAACAAGAAACAGGTAAGCACTCTCTGTGGCAGTCTTCAGAAGTGGATGACAAGGATTAGATTAAAGGATCTAGTGAACCTTTGGTGTTGTGGTTAAGATGAACACTGTCCCATTCAAGAACACTACTATGACTTCTGCACGCTCGAGGGGCACCAGTTGGTATGAAGTTCTGACAATCTGAGGTGTGGAATATAGTTTATTTGGGAAAGCAACACAAAGATAGTGAAAGTAACAAGGAGATTTAACACACTTTCCTCTTGGTGACAGCAAATTAGGACAGGGCCCCCTTTAAAACACTCAAGGTGGGGCAGATTTGAATGAATAGCAGCAAATGGCATGAATGTCTATAGGCAAAGACAGATTTTTTTGTACAGCAAATGCAAAAGTTAACATTAATGGGAATCCTGCTTTTTTGAAGCAGGGTAACTTCTTGTTTTTAAGTGGCACTGCTGTATCCTGGCCTGCACTGTATATTCTGGGGTCAGCTTGTACAATAAACTGCAATGTTGATGTATCTCAATGATGGCA